GAGAATGGCCTCGCCCAACAGGCACCCAACCACTTCCTTAGTCGGCTCTTAACTGGGTTGCTGTTAAGGAACTTAAATTAAGTTACCATAATGGGTATATATATATAGTAAATTATAGGGTTTCCCCAATATAGCAACTTAAAGTAAATTCCTTAACAGCAACCCAGAATAGTGGGTAACCTTGCGGGATTGAAGCAGCTATTGAGACTGGGAAGGAATTACAAGGATCGAAAAGCCAGGTACCAAAGAACTCGCGATTTTTCTCATCGGACCCCTTTGACAGATAGCATGGATGCATGTACTTGTGGTAGAGGAGCTGGATTTTTGAGAATTACCGGCCTAAACTCTCAACCCTAAATCCTTGAAAGCGGGGTAGCGCGGCACACAAGGCTACAGCACGCAACAGGCTCCTTTTTCTGTCCAAGCCAAAGGTGCTTCGAGAAGGCATCCTGGAAGCGAGTGCCGAATCACAAGCTGAAGCTTGCACGGCCCCACATTCCTCAAAGCTTTCTAACTCCGCTTTTACGGAATCAGAAGGGACTCATCCTGCGACGGCTGTTTCCAGCGAAGACAACCCAAGCTGTTTTCTACGGCGACCGCTCAACAAATCAGGGTCATAAACAATCCTCCACTGACCATCCCTTCGATTAAACTCAATAAGCTGATGAAGCTCATGTGACTTAGTTAAGGCGTTGGCCAGTTGGCTATCCCCATTAACCCACCTGACTGTCAGGCCAGTAGCGCCCATACTCTCTTTAAGACATAAGGCTTCAATGTCGGCTCGTTTCTCAGCCCCTCGAAGAGTCATCACAGTCTGGCCTAACTTATCATACAGGTTCTTACTGTCACTGATCAAGACACCAGAAGCATCCATCACCGCACCATCAACATTCCACAGCGACACCTGACCGCCTTGAAACTCCCGAACTTGAAAGCGAACTGCAAAAAGCTCGTCCTCTGCATCCACTGCTGCCCGAGTCTCTGCTGCACCACTACTGCGGCACACACGTTGTATCTTGGCGGACTGCCAAAACACTGGAGATATCCGGCACAGGTCACCTTGAAGCAACCGATCTGATGTCCATCCAATCAGGACTCCCTTAGTGGAACTCCCATCTGGCCTACTCGCATCGGCGGCGTCTGCCCATGCTGCCAACAAGGCTTTTCCTGGGTCCTGCCTATGAATGTACATCTTCTGATGTTGACTCAGCTTGGCTCTCTGCAGGAGTTTATTAGTGTCAATAATTTCCTGAACGGTTCCCTTGTGAACCTTTGACAGCAGCATCCCTACCGGAGCACTCCACACTGGTGCTACCTGACTCGCATGCCATGACAACGCACCAAGAACACTTCTCAGCTGAAACAACTCCTGCTGAGTCACGGGAGCTGTGGCGTCATTCCACCGGGCCCGCGACACATGAATCTCAGTTACAGCGCTCAAGTACTCTGGCTGACTTAAAGCAAACCCACTATCCGTCTGCTCTATTAGCACACCACACTGCAGGAACTTTTGGCTCTCCCACTGACCCCATTTAAAACGTGCCTTGATCTGCGCCTTGATGTGTTCCCATTGAGCTTCTCCCTGCTTCCCTCCGAACAGGAAGTCATCCACATGTCCGCACACCCATCCTATTGGGTTACGGTCCTTGTCAAAGAAGCCCCAGCAGCACGGATCAGAAAATTGTCGTTCGCCTCCTAGACTCTCCAGATACCTCGATACTGAGAGAAACCACTGGATCGGGGCTTCTACCAATCCATATGCTGCCTTAGTCAGGAGCATGGGGGTTTGCGGCAAAACCCCCAACGCTTCACATATCTCGGTAATGGCTCGCACACCATCGGGCGATCTGGTCCAAAATCATCTCCTTGTAAAAAGGCTCCTGAAATGTCGCCCTTTTCCACCTGGAACCCATGGTTGGCGCAACACTGGAGGAAAAGCTGTCGGGTCGTCCTACTCATTGTCGGACTGCTAGTCGGTCTGTGCTCGTACATGGGGTCCATGTACCCCAGGACGTTTTTCCTATTCATGCGCTGGATGGGGGAATAGGCACTTCCGTCAGGACTAAACCACACGACCAGGGGCTTCAACTCAGCAACCATTCTCCGCACATAATGACGCCCAGCTGTGGACTCCAAGTCTCCACCGTTCCAACTAGACACCCGACAGGCCGCACCCTTTCCAAAAGTCTTCTCACATTCGCTGACTAATAAACCTCCTTCAACACAACCAATCTCCAACAACACCGTTTTGTGGGGACACAACTCACCAATAGTGCTCAACATGGAATGCTCATACTGAGACCCAATCTGCTTAGACACTTGAAAGGGTAACGGACACATATTCCCGGGGAGCCAATCTTCCTCGTTTTCATCATCTGAGCTCACTTCGCCTGCCCCAGAGGGGCTCACTGGTCCTGCTGCATCGGCTGCTTGCGGACTGTGTCGGAGGTGGGTCCGCTGTTGGCCTTGATCAGCTCTTTCAGGGCTTTGAGCTCTGTCTCCAGCTCTGAGATGCGATCGCTCTGGTTGGAGGCCCCGCTCTGACTCATCTTCTCGTCTGGGATGAGCTCGGCTGCTTCCCACTGGCTCTCTGGGATCTCGCTGGAGCTGGCTGCACTCGGTGTGGTGGTGCGACGGGTCCGTCCCGGATAAGCTCTGACTGGCTCTTCCGGGGCGCTGTGCAGCTGGATCAGCTGCTGTTTCTCTGTGTCCGTGAGGAAGCGCCTCAATCTCCAGTGGCAACCCGGATTGTCTTGGAGAGTGCGAACTGTCCAGGACACGTAAGACGGTGCCTGGGCCACCACCTCTCCATACTGGAGACTCGCATGCTTGCCGTAGCCCATAAAGTCGCTCTTGGACGGTGGAACCAAATTCTCCATGTAGTACTTGAGAAGCAGAGCCCTCAACTGGTCTGAGTTCAGATTCTTTGAGTACTGAATCTGGTGGTGGTCCAAGAGCTCCTGGATCGCGGCTTTCGTCTTGCACTTGTTGATGGCTTTGGTCGCATCCCGCTCGGTCATCACCTGGGCCTGCGCCTCCTTCAACTCCTCGATCCTGGTCTTCAGCTGAAGCTTCGTCCAGGCTGCTGGAGGAGTCTCCCCCAGCTCCTGAAGCTGGCGCTGCATGTCGCTCTTGGTGTTCGAGCTGGTGGGCATCGTGGGTGGTAGATGCTTCACTGGAAAGGCACTGAGGGAGATGTGCAAGATGACACTCTTTGAGCCCTGTTGCTCTCTGTCGTGAGTCCTGGGATGTCAACCTGCTATGGCCGTTTGGGTGGTACACGGGAAGAGGAAAACCCAGACCCTGAAGATGCTGCACATCCCTGACCATCAATTTGTGGAACCCACTCAAGGAATATCCGATCAACATCGTTCGATCTCCAAACCAAGTGTGAGTAGCATGCCACTGTTTAGGATCAAACACCAAAGGACCATCCAAAGGGTACAAGTGACCACCAATGAACTTGTCATTACACTGCTTGGCTATCTTCCTGAGTCCTGGCTCCTGTGCTGGGCCGCTGATCCATAGTTCTCCTCCCTTCTTGGGTTTTATGATTGGGATGATCAGATTGGGGGTCTGTTCAAGGTTGAAGATGTCCCTATGAGGATGTGATTTGGTATTGCAGGTCATACAAATGGAAGTGACTACCTGTCCTGGACACCATGTCTTCACAGCAAGCGCCAAACACCTAGCAACCCCCGGATACTCCCTCGTCACTCGAGTTAACCCATTAACTCCCCCATGAGTGAACGTTCCAAACATCACATACGCGCTAGGCTTACCTTGCCTTCGAGTGATCTTCTCAAGATTGGACCTACACCGTTCTTTCCGAAGTTGGAAAACATGCCATGGAACCCTCTGAAGAAATTGCTTGAGTTCTTCGGGGCTACACGCCTTTCTAAGCACATCTTGAGCTTCTTCTTCAACCCGGGCCCTTATATGCTTCCAAGGTTCTTGCTGGGGTTCCCTACTAGGATGGTAGTGGTTCATGTAACATGATCCTGACTGCTCAGCGGTCCTCCCCATAACATCCCCATTCCTACACTTGCCCTGGCAGGATGAGTCGATAGCCTGAAAAAACTCTGGCGCATTTGGTTTTTCAAGGTCCTTCTGGTGAGCTAACGCGCCAGCTGCTCCCAGAAGGTGCTGTCCCTACTCATTGCTAGAAGAGGTGGTGTGCTGACTACCATCTTCACCCAGTGACCTAAAGGGGCCATCTCTACGAAACGACCCCTGCAGCACATCACCCACTAGCGGAAATAGCTGATGACCACTCGCTGTGGTTTCCAAAGACACTACTCGAGACGAGTCAAGCCTACGGAAAATTGCTTCGTCTCTCTCAAAGTCGATCACTGCTCCCAGCGCTCGGAGTGATTTCACACTCAAGAGAACTGGCTGGCCAGGAATGGTATGGATGTGGACCTTCATTCTGCCATCCACATCCTTGAGGGGAAGCTTGAGTAAAGCCGTTGACATACAGTCATGCTTAGCATTGTTTCCAAACCGGAATGAAGGGGCCTCGGCCTTCACAATCTGGATCCCATCATCGCCTGTCTGCATCCAGTTAAGCTGAGCAATCTGCTGTAGTGCCTCCTCAGAGCCCAAGCTGCTAGTGGTCAGTGATGGCCTTACCCTCCTCGATGATGTGGCTGAGGGCAAGCAGACTGTGATCCTCTGCAGCCTCAGCGGCCAGTGCCTGCTCATCCATCCTTCCAAGCCAGTTTGGCTCCGCAGCTCTCTCCTGAATGGTGGTGAACACAAAGTTGACCCTTGACTCAGAGTCCTTCTGAGCCCCACTCTCTGGACAGTCTTTGCGAAGATGAGGTCCTCCACAGCGGAAGCACTTGAGGGGTGGACGGTCCCCTCGCCCTTTTCCTCCGCCTTTGGAAGGGAAGAAGCGCCGATTGCGCCTCATCTGAGCCTGTTTTTCTCGGGCATCGCGAAGAGTGCGTTTGGCATCCTGAAGGGCTGCTAGGGCTTCCTGAGCTTCCTCGGCCAAGGCCTGGTAAGCGTACTCATCCTCCGGATCGTCCCAATCTCCAGCCTCAATGTCCTCCCAGGTGTCGTCATCAGCCAACATGGCTGACTCCTCCTCGGTAAACATTGCTGAATGCTTTCCAGAGTCCCGACGCTTCAGCTCTTCATCTGGCCAGGTGAGCTTAAGAGCCTCCTTGACTTTATGCACGCTGAAATCATTCTTCAGATTTGCAACCAGCACACTGCGTTCAGTTGCATCCAAACCGGAACGCTGTAACAACAACCATGCCACAACAAAGTCCGGAAGAAATCGCTCAGCCTGTGCATTCATCCCAGGAGGCATGACTGCTGCCTCGTGGGTGGTGGCTAGATCTCCATGACTCCCCATGCTGTGACTCCATGTCCCAGTTCCAGGTAGGCTGCTGCCCAGGACTCCACCATGACGACCACCATGCTCCCCACGAATGGCCTTGCCACGATGAAGTATCCCAGTCATCATCTGCCCATGCCTGCGACTCGCCATCACCTGGTTCCTCCTGTCCAGTGCTTGTCTCTGCTGATGGCTCGGGAGTAGCCGCATCGGTTCCTTGGAGATCTTGCTCACGATCGCTGGTTCTGCTTCCAGCGCTTGCCCGAGATCCTTTGTGTCCTTGGCCCTTCCAGGTGGGACCCCAAAATGGAGCTGAGGGCTGTAGTCCGGGGCCGTACTCGTGGATGGCCTCAGCAAGGGTTCGTTTGGCCTCCAGCAACGCTTCATCGTGTCTAAAGATCCAAGCTGTCATCCCTTCACCTCGCCGACGTTTTATGCCGTAGAAGAATCGTGACATAGTCCTTCCTGCTTCAGCTAAGGTTGGAGCCCTTACTTGTTTCTTCAAGTAAGCTAAGAGCTGCGAAGCACCTTTGTCGTGGGAAATCCAACCTGGAGCCATATGCTCCACAGCCAGCTTTGCACTGCCTTCCAATGCTGCTTGGAGGCGAGGACCTACCAGCGATCTTTTCTTCCACTCCACTGTCTCGGCATAGGTCAGGGCGGCCCTGTGGTATGCCACGTACAGCTCTGGAGAACCATCGAAAACTGGAACTCCATCTTTTGTATAGCGCAGATCTGACATGCTTCCAGTGTCTCAGCCTCCCCTGAGGTTGATCAACCAGAAATTGACCCTGGAGCCTTACCAGTTACTCGAAACCGGTAGCAGCTCCGCTACCATGAAAGCGGGGTAGCGCGGCACACAAGGCTACAGCACGCAACAGGCTCCTTTTTCTGTCCAAGCCAAAGGTGCTTCGAGAAGGCATCCTGGAAGCGAGTGCCGAATCACAAGCTGAAGCTTGCAATCCTAAACTCTAAACCCTAAACTCTAAACTCTCAACCTCGCGGACCTTGTCCGGGAGGCACTCTTCAAGCTTTTCACAACCTAGGATTTGCCCAGCCGCTGCGGCAAGAAAAGGGGCGCGGGGGGGAGGGGGTTATGGGTTTAGGGTTTAGAGGTTTAGGGTTCATGTTCTTCTCCTTGTTTTGGTTAATCTGATTTTCTAAATATTTCTATTGTTGTTACTATTTGTTTGATGCTATTGCCGTTAAACTTACTAATTTCACGAGTACTACCAGTACTAGGAATGAAACTCTACAAAGATCCATTGCCCCAACAATCAACGCAAAACAAAGGGGGTTGTGTAGGAGTAGATGAGGGAAGGGCAAAGAAAATGGCAACTGCTCTCCTGGGCAATGACCCACCCCAGGATCTGAAATCACCAAAGCTTTTCCCTGCCCTAAACCCTAAACCCTAAACCTTAAACCCTAAACCCTAAACCCTAAACCCCTAAACCCTAAATCCTCCAACACGCACGATGCCGACTCCAGCCCTCTGAAGGAGCTTTCTACTTGTCATTGCTTTCTAGCAAGGTAACTGGCTGCAGCGGGCTTATAGTCCCCCTTAAGTAGATAGAATATGGGGTATATGGGGATTTTATTATAATATATCCAAAGCCATATGCTATCTACTTAAAGGGGCCTACATACTTGGGACATGATATGTGGGCTTGTCGAAATGAAGGGTCCCTCCTTTATCTGCCAACCAAAAATGAAGCCCATGCTACACAGACCCCGAAGGCAGCCCAGGCATTTTATTTGAGGTAGTTATGCGGTGTAGTGTACCAAGATTGGGACCAATGCCTCAGCAAACGAATAAAGTTGGATTAGAGTGCTTTCAATGGGCCTAGCTTTGAACCCCATTAGCTTTGCAGGACCCCGGAAACACACCTCCTGCACCCGCATCGAAAGAATGTTGTGAGCAACATGAATGGGATGTTGGGCCAGGGTGGATGTGGTTTGTTGTAAGGGTTACAAAGGAAACCTTTCAGTCACTATCCAAGTGCCTTAATTTTTCGTCAACCCCCCCGAGCATACAACCTGAAAGTCCACTGCCCTCTTGTTGATGTCTATTCACCATTTCAAGCTTCAGAGCTTGACGAGCTTAGCCCTTCAAGATTGTTTCGAACATTGCCAAAGGCAACCTGCAGAAATACTGCAGAATTGCGTATATCTAATTGCTGACACTGTCTCTCGTCGCTGTCCTGGTAAACCCCAACTGCCCACAGCCCAATTGTAGTGAGCAGGGGTGCTTCTATACATACCCATCACCCTGAACTCATAAATTCCCATAGAACACTATATATGCCCTGTAAACCCCTTTAAAGGTACCCCCCTTCTTTATGACCAGGAAGGCAATGGTCTGTTTCAGGTACCCAATTACTGCGCGTCATCTAAAGAACCTGGCGCAACCCCAAGACATCAAGCCGCAAAGGCCTGCAACCCAGGCTACAAATTCTAGACTTTAGACCCCAACTTTCACACACCCAGGCCTTGAACCCTCAATCCATCTGAGCCATAGTCTAAACTCCGAGTACCCCCCCAGTAACGCCTATACATTCTGCCCCCTTCTAACCCCCTTTATGGAGTTTCGACTATAGCTCATCTTGTCCCTAAACCCTAACCCTAAAGAAAACTTAACTCCTCAGATCCCGGGACAGCCCGTAGAGAAGGTGATGGCGTCATTGTAGGTGCCCAAGTCTTGTGGCGGCGCGAGACCCTTGCGACAACAGGGTCCGTGCAAAATCATGTTGCCTCTTGTTCTGGGGGCGCAGAATGAGACCCTTGAAGCCCAAAGACTTGAAAGACTCATGATACTTGTGTGTTGCAGACATGTCACGTTGTAAAGTCGCTACTTAACGATACTTTGCACAGCCAACACAGGCCGCGTGCTCTTGCGGTTCAATGACACAGAGACCGGAATTGAGGCCAGCAGTGCTGCAGTCTCAACACTTGAGCAACTGCTTCGACAGCGTAATACCTTAGGAAGACCCCCCACCCTGTAATAGTGGTATAATAGGAATACAAGCGGACCCTCATATAATCCTTACTATCCATAATAGTCACTATTACTGGGTGGGGGGTCCACCTAAGTAATAGCTTCCACTGGGGACCATCCAATTGCCTTCCTTGTGGCTTGTTTTTTTCGCATGAGCACTGGCTCTGCACCAACTCTTGCTTGGCCTGTGGATCCGATTTGAAAAATATGAGTATCTATTGCCCTTATGAAGCCAACATCTTGGTGGGCCCTTGAAGAGATTCCACGAAGCTATGTACAATCTGGGCCCTTTTCAAAAAGATTAGCATCTATTGCCCATCTGAAGCCAATAAGGGCGAACATTTGAATATCCCACAGGCCAATCCAGAGGATACGCTTTTCATGCAAACAAACTTCCTTCCACTGCTCTTCACCCCCTGGCTAAATGTCCAGAAAAATTCGCTTACCCTAAGTGGAGCGGCCTCAATCTGAAGCCAGTATTGCGTGGGCATGAGTGCACCAGGCAAGTATTTTCACCTCCCGTGGACTGCATATTGAAATCCCGCCAGCTGGTCGCCTTTGGCTTCAACGAGATCTTCCCAATGGTTGCCAGCTGTGGGCACGTATAGTCCTTCAAGTGATTGCTCGGACTTCCGGACTCATGGCTTGAGGTCTGGGATGTCGATCATCACTATTATTCCTACTATTACTATTACTAATATTTTTGTTAGTACCATCATCCTCATTACTATTATTCGCATTATTACTATTAGTCTGTCCTGACTGAGGCTACGCATCCTTTGTGACCCTGCAATGCTAAGCAAAATGCCCACAAGCTTACGCAGGGCCGTCCAAGACGATGCACCTCACCCCCCAAGCCGCGCATAGCCAAATGTTCAGGTCATGGGATAACTTCCGTCCAAGCGGTTTAGGGCTTAGGGTCCTAGAGTCAGAGGATTTAGGGTTTAGGGAGGATTTTTGGCAATTCTCGGCTAGTTTTGGTTGCTCACAGTTTCTTGCTCAGGAATTAGGGTCGTATCCCACCTGATCAAGGTGTTCCAAAAACAGCCTAGATGCAAATAGAAGCCCTAGAGGAGAACTTCAAAGCTATAGAGTTTACTGTCCAAGGTTTATGATATAAGCTAGGTACTGCCTCCACTCAGCAGCAGTCGCAGTAACAGTTGGATAATGACAAAAATATGAGTACATATAAGCCTTAAACTTGCCCCTATTACGCGCTGCTACTGGGTGGGAGCAGTATGCAAGGTGTAAGCCTTCACTGTTAAACCCCATACCCCTAAACCCTAAACCCCCAAACCCAAAACCGCAAAATCTTAAACCCCAAAACCCTAAACCAAACCCAAACCTCTGAACCCTAAACCCATTTCTGAGCACGGATTGAGGGCATTGCCGGACCCCGTTTTGCATCCAGCCTGCGAAGCCTCTGCTGAGCGACTCCCCGGTCACCCCTAAACCCTCAAACCTCGTGAAAGGTTTGGATGCCTAGTGTCAAGCAGATGGTCTGCCTGGCACAGGCCCCACTTAGAGATTCTTTGAAGGATTTTAAGGACCCTGTAGGCCCCCTGAAGTAGATAGAATATGGGGTCTGTTGGGATCTTATTCTAATTCTTTGGAATTTCATATTCTATCTACAGATTTTATGTATGTATAGCGTCTTTCGGCCCTCTAAAGGATAAGGTAGAAACGGTTCAGCAAGGGTCTCAGAAGCTCTCTATGTTTCCATTTTATTTTCCAACCCACTATAACCCCAATATAACACCAACAAACTGCGGACCCAGGATATCTTCTTGAATGCGCATCCTCGAAGTAGAAGGTGAACGGCACTCGAGACCTGGGCATGTGGAAGAAGGCGCACTTCTAGTGTGAAGCTTTACGTCAGCTCTGCTTTTCATGGTTTCAGGCCTCTTTCCACGGAAAAGGCAATATTGGATTGACGGGTTCCCAGGTTTGGGGCTGCGCTTTTTTTTTTGCTGCTGGCTTGCAAGATCTAAAGCTGTTTCGGGTTTTGCGGCTGATGGGCTCATAATTCTTTGCAGGGTTCCCAGGTGGTGGGTTTACAGCTTGGTTTCAGGCTTAGACAATTTCAGTGTGACAGGATTCTACCTGTGTTTTCCGGTCATCCTGGATTTTATGCTTACGGCGCACCCTAAACCCTAAACCGTTGTGGCTTTAGGGGTGAAGGAATGAGCTTGAGGACCATAGGGTTCAGACTTCGAGACTGACACGTTATCTAGGCTGAAAGGATCTGAATTCTAGGTTCGACCTGTGCTACCGAAAACCCTTAACCCTTATCGGTATAGGGTTCAAGCATTAAGGTTGCCTGAGCGAAGGGCTTTGGGTTTAGAATATTGAAGGGAACGTTCCGGAGGTCTTCGGGCTTTCGGCTTCAAGGCTAAAACACATAGCCCAAATCCGAAGCCCTAGATTTGGAGCTGTTTAGGCTCTCCAACCTGTAAGCCCTCAGCTTATAAACCCAAATGAGCCATCGTCTAAACTCCTAGTATCCCTCTCAATAACCTTCCTATATGGTCCCTTATATTTTTATAACCCGCCATTAATGGGTTTAGATGGGTTTAGACTATGGCCCAACTCATCACAAGCCCAAGGCCCTTGGTCCTCCATCACTACAACCTGGGTGGCTGTTAAGAAAGTGAATTTAAGCTACCATAATGCGGGCATCTACGGCTAAGGGTCTAGGCTTTAAGTCAACATATTATGGGTAGATAAGGTTGAGGGTTTGTTACCAT